TGGAGCTCACGGCCCCGCCCACCACCTGCAGCGTCACAGGACTGATGTCACGGTACCGCTCCTTCACCGACGACATCACCATGACATCACGAGGACGCCCACTGAAACAGAAGAACATTCAGCGCCGACATCATCGACCAAGCTTCACGCGTTCTTTAGTTGTGGCGGTGATGGCGCAGCGGATTAGACACATGTCTCAGGTGTGACAGTCACGGGTTCGATTCCCACTGTCCCCGAGCAGGACCCGCAGATTTAAAACAGCGAGACAAAGTGAGGCCGACAACAGAGGAGCGAGTATCACCGCTCCTAACAGAAGAAGAAGAGTCTTTAAAATTCATCTCTGCATTTCAGCCGTCCCTGCAGGGGAGCAGTGGACGTTAATATGTATTAATTCCAACATGTGCGGTCTATTCAGTTCATCTGAGTCACTCTGTGTTGAAGAGGACATCAGGGCTGTGACCAAACACTCGACTCACGACATGTGATGATGCACAATTCTGTGTTTGTGACAAATATTTTTAACTGTTTTGAAGTAATAAACTGAAATATCTGAGTGGGAGTCTGGCGGTCCTCCCCCAGATGTTTTTCAGCATTAAACACTTCATTTTCTGACTTCTGGAGAAATATTCTGCACCAGGTTATGGTGGAAATGTCTTTACACAACATTAACATGCAGCTTGTCCTTTTAGCTTAAGTTACTTTTTTGGACATGTTTTCTTATCGTGCTAATAAACCTTTCCTTAAAACCTTCAGTTATTTAACATTTCTCATTCCAACATTTTAACAAATGCTATTAAAAAGTAACTGTGCTATATGATATGTCTGTGCAGAGAGGCTGGAGGTGTGAAATCGATGTGGATAATAGATAAGAAGTCAGTGATGTGGTGCTCATAGAAAAGCCTGAAGCTGGAGTCCTGCAGTCCGACAGCCAGTCTGTAGGACGTTTTACCAGAAGGACACCTTCTGCTGTGTTTTACAAACTGGCAGATGTCTGAACTGCACACACTTCAAAAATTTAACAACATAAAATAAAAAGCGTGGCAGGACTTGGACCTAGATACGGAGATAAAAAGAGCTAGGCCTGCTGAGGAAACTGGAAATCCAGCAACTACAAAGAGAAGTGATGACTGCTGTTCACAGTGTGGAAAAACACTGAGCTGTCCTCCCTGTTCTTTCACATTACAGCCTCCTTACTGAGGTGGGACTGTAACTTGGGAGTTTTATACAATTAGCAAACCTAATGAAAACAATATAAGCTGACAATTCTGACAGTTTCACTTAAGAGCTGTGATATTTTTAGCCTCTCACACTTTCTTATTACTGTGCCCGAGTTACTTTTCCTTTTCTTTATCATTTTCCTTTACATGTGCGCGCGTCTCCTCCAAAGATGAAACCTTAGTAAGAAGCACAAACTGCAGTTTTAATGCAGGCTGATGGAAAACATGTGAAACACACAGGAGAACAGGGAGTGACTGCTGTCATGCTGCGTTCCACACCGCTCGGAACTGGGAACTTTCCAAGTTGAAACTTCTGACCTCAAAGCGTTCCAGTCAGTGTTGCAGGTCACACTTCCTAATGTTTTTTACTGTAGCCAGCTACCTAATAACAGATTTCTACATCCATGTACACGCAGACCAGGTTTTACTACATGCCAGTATGTATTACTTTCATTTAAACACATGCAAATAGAAGTTTTGTTGCACTTTAGTTTATGGTTTACAGCGCGAGCGTCCACGGCCGCCGACATTGTTTTGTGACGTCATTTAGCTGCTACTCGTGAAGCCAGGGGCCACATTTGTTTCTCCGAGATCCCCAGCAGGAAGTCCGACTTCAGGGGGCGTCCCAGGAGAGCTTTTCTAGTTGGAGGTCGGAAATGTCCCAGTTCCCAGTTGCCTGGAAGGCAGCACCAGCCCGGCACAGAATACATCTCCATGGTAACTCAGTGCAGCTGCTTTGATCTCTGGAAACCCCGGTGTGACACCAAAATGTGTGACCCATCAGACTCTGTGCCTAAACCCGAAGGGCGACGTTTAGTTCTTCAGTCCGTGTGGCTCACACAGTCCGACAGGTCCCACGTGTTGGTGTCACACGTGGGACCCGCTGTCCTGGTTTTGTGGACCAGCCCTCAGCTTACAGGTAAAACATTAAACATCTCACCTGCTGCTACAACACAAGGCTGCCGCTGTTTACTGCCGCTCTTCTTCCTCTACGGTCGCTACGTCACGTCTGGTCGCCTCTACCGCCGCCCGGAGGAGGAGGAGGAGAAGAAGAAGACAACCTCCTCGTAATAATAAGAGCAGGCGCGCGGGAGGATCTGCTGCGCAGTAGAAATGCTGCGTGATTACATCAGTAATCGACCTCTGATCCCAGCGTCTCACCGTCACTGCAGGCTGAACAGCTGCCCCGCGCTCAGTGTCACACCTGGGGCGCGCGCACTGAGGGCTGCGCGGTCTGCGGGCGGAGCTTTCTCCACGTGAAGAGAGACGCTGTGCGCATGTTTAAATCCGTTCCTTCATGTTCTGAGTAAAGGTTCATGGAGTGACGCAGCCGTCCCGCTGATCCATGCTGAGCTCCATCAGAGGGTCTCACTGGATCCTGTTCCCTCTGTCAACCAACCAGTGGACAGAACAAATCTACAACATAATAAAAGAGTCGGTCCATGATTAACGAGCCGATCCGCATCACAGCAGTTCAGCTGCTATGACCGAGACAAACAGCTGCTGTAACATGGAGCAGAGGCTCGTCTGCATTCAGCTCTGACCTGCTGGAACCACAGTGCCCGCATGATCTAATATTCACTGAGCACCGAACATCACAGTGGTACAAGTGAACCAAACCAAATGAAAGAATGAAGTCTTGTATTCATCCCATCTTCAGATCTTCTCTCATTCTGGAGCTGTAGACTGCTGAATAGTGCACTTGTGACAATTTAATTCAAAACACAAATGTTGGCAGAGCACACATTAACCTTCTTCTTCTTTCTTTGAACTTTAAAATCAAACTTTCCCAGGAGTGCAGATAGATCTATGGTAACTGAACGTAATGCTGCAGATAACTAAACAGATGTGGTGTTTAAACACACTAATGCCACAATGTGCACTTCTGTACGACGAACATACTGTATGTATGTATCTGACTAATCAGACGTGTTTAGAGTCGCAGTTCTGGCCTGAGGTGCAAACATGGCCGGCCCGTTTGTTGCATTTCACACACTTAAATCACGTCTCCTTTTGAATACTGTATGAAAATGGCTCCACATGAGGCCAGAAGAGATGTCAGCAGCTTACAATCCTCAGCTGTACTTGTGACCGATTTGTTCTTCAACCTGCCTGACTGCCTTTAACATCATGTCAGGTGGTGTTCTGTCATTCTCTGTCCTCTGTTGATCATTTTCTTCCTTCAAAAACACATTCCTCATTGCAATTACAAATTAATTACAAGCTTATTTGTCTGCTACCCTTGTTGCTGAACTTAATTAATAACTGCATCATGTAGTGTGTTTGTATCAACTAACACACAACGTGATTCCTACAGATTCAGTCTTGTCCAGGCACACGGCTGCTGCTGTAAACTACAGAGTATAATATTCTATTTACAGAATCATTTAATACTGGTGTCAGAGGTAAATACACAATTTCAAACAGTTTTTTGAGCATGTTCTATGTGTTTATTTGTACTGGGGCAACTAATGACATGTGACGACTTGCCCCAAACTGACATGTGTGCTAATGTTGGCTGAAGGTTAGCTTAGCATAGCACTTCAGCTGAAGTATCAAGACACGTTATTGTCTCCTCTACTCTGTGCAAAGTTATCATTTTAATAAGGTTGGAATACATAAAATGTAAAGTGCAAATGTTTTACTTTTGAAGCAAAAAACTAATAAAATTGTGCTCACCTCAGAATAGAGTGACTGTGACCACATGTGAACAGGAAGTTGAACATAGAAAAAGAAGTCATTTGATTTTTGACATAAAGCCTCTAGTGTTGGAGTCACAGCTGGCCACTCAGCTCAGGAGGACACTTCCTGTTAACAAGCTGCACGACTGTTTCCTGTGGGTGAAGCAGCTGCTGCAGGTTTTACTCTGAGGCCTCGGGGCTCTTCAGGACCTGCAGGACCACATTCAGGACTCGCTGACAGTGAGTGACGGTGGTGGTGATGGGGCAGTGGATAAGACACATGCCTTTGGTGTGAGAGACCCGGGTTCCACTAGGTCCCTGAGCAGGACACTTAACCCCTCGCTGTTCCAGAGGTGTGCGACCTCTGACATGGGCAGCATTTGTGATGAGCCTGAGAGCCGCATGATAAAGAGGTTCAAGCTTTGACAGAGGAGATGGACATGCAAATTGACAGATGATATCACCATAATCTAGCTGAAACAGGAATAATCCTGCAACCAGTTTTTTCCATGTAGTCTTAGAAAAGCCAGATTTGAATCTATATAGTAATGCCAGGGTAAATTTAAGTTTTGTAGCAAGCCTCCGTCCAGCCAGATACCCACGTATTTATCAACAAGTTCAATGGCTTCATCTTGCAATGTGTTAATAGCAAGAGCTGGGACTTTAGTATTTACAGGTGCAAGTATCATCGCCTTTGTCTTTTGTGCATTTAAAAGTAGCTTCTAATCAAACAGGGCAGATTGTAATGAGGCAAAGTCTGACTGCAAATTTGCACAGGCATAATTGTATCATCCTCATACAAATGATACTGTGAGTGTTTAAACTTACTGCAGATATTGTTTATATAGATGATAAAAAGCAAAGGACCCAGAACTGACCCTAGTGGGACACCCTTCTTTAGGACAGGGGTCAGATGTTACATTCTCATGCCTTACAATTTGTGTCCATTCAGAGAGATACCTGTGAAACCAATTTACAGCTCTGTACCCAACGGCAATATTCAACAGGGTTTTTATTGTTTGTTTTTTTAACCCTGTCCTGCCCAGCAGCCTGGTATAGAGTATGATGACCTGGATACCATATTGTGCCAGACAGATTTTACTTTAACAAGAGAGTATTAATATACTCCTTTGTCTGTTTTATTATTTATTTAATTATGTATTGATTTGTCACCGGGCCGGACAGGGGGGCAGACACGGGGATGGGGGGGCACAAACAGACAGCACAGAGAAAGGACAACACCTGTAAGAGAAGGGGGATGGAGGGTGGGGACAACAGGGAAAAGCTGTGGGAAACACCAATTGCAGAAAGCAACGAAACCTGCAATAGAACAGAGAGGGGGGCTTGGGGAGGAGAAAAACAACAACAACAAACAAACACAAACAAAAACAAACAAACAAACAATAAAATAATAATAATAGTAAAAGACAACCAGCCAAACAGCAGCAATAAACAGCTGACATAGTAAGACAACTAAGAGAACAATGAAAACAAGAAACAGTCACACACTCTAAATAAGCAACACAGCACAGCCACGAGAGCTGGAATAATAATTAATTTAAATAAGTAACTGAAAGAAAAGCATCAGGAATAATTCTACCAGGGACAACCTAAGTTTGTTTGTGTCTATGTGTGAGACTGTGTGTGTCTGTGTGTGTGTGTCCCAGATGCACCGCGATGCAAACGTGGAACCCAAATGCCAACAACCAAAACGCCCAAATGCCACGCAATCATCAACATCAATGCACAAGTGACGAGCCCAACGCGCACACTGTGCGAGCACGGCGACACCCAATGCCCGGCAGCCCCCTGCGAATCCCACGTGCGAGGTCGGGCAAACGAGAGAGCGAGCAGAATAACACGACAGTGAAAGCCAGCGGAGAGAAACACCAGCAGCAAGTCCCAGCCCGGCAGCAAACGCGCCGCGCAGGTCACCGTGCACCCGCCAAAAGTCTGCCGTGACACCATCCCCCCAACCGCCGGAAAAAACTAAGGCCGCCGGCGCCGGCTGACACCCCCCATGTACAGCACGACCCCCGGCCGGCATGCAACACAAGCCAAACCAGCAACAAGGCAAAATCAACCAGCTCAGCTGCATGCCACCACCGACCCACACACCCGTCAAGGGCCGAGAACTCCGGGCACAAGCCCAGAATAAACCGCACACAAAGCCCTGCCCCGCACCCACACTGCACATCCCCAAAAATAGACACACCACCCGCCCAGAAATGAGCAAAAGCCAGAAGCCCGAGTCCCCAGATCCCTAGGTCCAGAGCGGGACCCCACGCCAGGGGAGCAACGCCCCCCCCAGCCCACCCCAGATCAGGCAAGGCCGTCACCAACCCCACAGCACCCCCGACGCCCAGGGCTCCAGGGGCAGGACACGAGGCCAATGAGAATCTCCCCACTCCTCCATCCCCTCTGCCTGCCTCTGTAAATGTATTGTTTTGTGTTGGATGCATGTCATGGATTGTGAAATGTTGTATGGTGGAGTAAAGATAAGGTGTGTGGTAACTAAGGTGCAGTTAAAATTGGAGGGTAGTTGTGACACAGGCACCCCACAACTGTCATGTAGTGGAGCCTCCCATCGTGCCCCTCCCACCCCCCAAGCCCTCTGTGTCTAATGTGTAGTTAAAATTGAGGGGCGGGCAGTGAGGGAGGAAGAAGGGCGAGGCCGCAATAAAGCAGCCCCACCCACCAAACGCCCTGCAGCCTGCCCATCCCCCAGAGTCCTAAGGGTGTATGTTGTGAGACATGACCAAAGGGGGAAAGGTGAAGGAGGATTCATCATTCAACATCTCCGAAACCTTTCTTAAAACCGAAAGATTTGAGATAGGTCTAGAATTATTTGTGTCAAGTGAAGCCCCAGTAGCTTTCAGTAAAGGAGGGACATAAGCCTGTTTCTATGAAAGAGGCACTGTATCTGTGGAAATGCAGAGGTTAAAGATGTAAGTGAGTGGCTTCACTATAGTTTCTGCTGCCATTTTTAACAAAAAAAGGATCGAGTCCATCTGGCCCCGCTGCCTTCTGGGAGTCAATGTTCTGCAACACGTACACAACATCTGACTCAAAGAACTGTGTGAGCTCAAAAACAATACACAGTGAGCAGTAACAATTCAATTCAATTCAATTTTATATATATATAGCGCCAAATCACAACAACAGTTTTCATAAAAGAGCAGGTCTAGACCGTACTCTGTGATGATATTTACAGAAGCCCAACAGTTCCCACCAAGAGCAGCACTAGGAGACAGAGGCAAGGAAAAACTTCCTTTAAGAGGCAGAAAGCCTCCACCAGAGAGAGAGAGAGAGAGAGAGAGAGAGAGAGAGGCAGCCTACACAATATCCACACAGAAGTACAGACAGTAAAGGTGATGTTGCTATAGACTAAATGAAAAATGGTACAGATATTTATAGTAGTGTTAATGATAACAGTCGTAATGTTAATGATTATAATAACAATAATAATAATAGGACTAGTAACAATAGTCGTTGCAGCAGAGGGTGTCGAGCAGGAACACGGGGGCAGCAGGTGACCCGCAACCACAGATCCAGACTCCACAGCTCCAGAGCCAGAAACACCTGCAGGAAGTGACAGGAGGAGAGAGGAGAGGGACGAGAAAGCACAAGACTACCAGAAAGGGGAGAAGTTGTGTTAGTAACATGCAATAATGGGATGAGGTTGCATACAGAGGGAGAGAAAGTAGAGGAGAGAGGAGCTCAGTGCATCATGGGAAATCCCCCGGCAGTCTAGGCCTATAGCAGCATAACTAAGGGATGGTTCAGGACTCACCTGAGCCAGCCCTAACTATAAGCTTTATCAAAGAGGAAAGTCTTAAGCCTACTCTTAAATGTGGAGATGGTGTCTGCCTCCTGAACCCAAACTGGAACCTGGTTCCACAGGAGAGGAGCTTGATAGCTGAACGCTCTGGCTCCTAGTCTACTTTTGGAGACTCTAGGAACCACAAGTAACCCTGCATTCTGGGAGCGCAGTGCTCTGGTGGGGTAGTAAGGTACTATGAGCTCTTTAAGATAAGATGGTGCCTGACCATTAAGAGCTTTGTAGGTAAGAAGAATGATTTTAAATTCTATTCTGGATTTTACTGGAAGCCAATGCAAAGAAGCTAAAACAGGAGAAATGTGATCTCTTTTCCTGGTTCCTGTCAGAACACGTGCTGCAGCATTCTGGATCAGCTGAAGAGTCTTAACGGACTTTTTCGAGCAGCCTGATAATAAGGAATTGCAGTAATCCAGCCTAGAAGTAACAAATGCATGGACTAGTTTTTCTGCATCATTTTTAGACAGGATGTTCCTGATGTTCGCAATATTACGTAGGTGAAAAAAGGCGGTCCTTGAAATTTGCTTAATGTGAGACTTAAACGACATGTCCTGATCAAAGATAACTCCAAGATTCCTCACAGTGGTGCTGGAGGCCAAGGCGATGCCATCCAGGGAAACTATATCTTTAGATAATGCGTCACGGAGGTGCTTAGGCCCCAGAGCAATAACTTCAGTTTTATCTGAGTTTAACATTAGAAAATTACAGGTCATCCAGGTTTTAACATCCTGAAGGCACATTTGAAGTTTAGCTAACTGATGACTTTCATCTGGTTTGATCGATAGATATAACTGAGTATCATCTGCATAACAATGAAAGCTGTCTGGGATGTTGTGTTTGTAATGAATGTAGAAAAGTGAGTTGTTGTCATCACCTCACCCATACACCATAACACATCCGCCAGCACGCCATCCACCCGCCTCCAGCAACAATCATCACACCCGAACACTTCCCTCTCTCTCTCCGGCCGAGGCAGATCATCTTTTATTAAACACAGTTTTCCTCAGTCGCTTCCCTACATTTCTCTGATCTCATTTCAGAAGGGAAACTCTCAAAACTTCGTGTTCACCCTCCACATCATCATCTTGTCACTTGTGCTCTTTGTAAAAGCAAGTTCTCATTCTTTTTAACGCCAGCTGTTTCCTACATGACATCACGTTGAGCACGATGGATCATCTGGTTCTCTGTGGAACGTCTGACCCCTCAAACATCCAGGCAGAAGTTCGTCTATATGAAGATGTCTGTAGTGATGTGGAGGGAATCTGTGACCCGACAGACAGAACGAGAGTTGAACAGCTGTTTCCATGTTCACATTTCTACCACTGAGCTGATTTGACCGATGAAGGTCAGCAATTATTCAAAACTGGTTTAAAGAGATATCCCAGATTCCATCTACAGCTTTAAAGCTTCTTCAGGCGTGGCAGCTGCTTAGCCAATCGGCATCCAGCGGCTGGACCTGTTGGACGGGGCGGACAGATCCTGTCTTGGACAGTAATTACCTGAAGCAGGAGGAGGGCTGTGATTGGCTGGAGGCTGACAGCAGATAGACTGTGATTGGCTGGTTGGTGTAGATAAAAGTGAAGAAGGTGAAGTTCCTCTTCACTTTCTTCCACCTGAAGCCCTGCAGAGAGCGACGACACAGTAAGAGGCCCTTTAATCTGAAGCTGCTTCTAATGATGGATCTGTTGTCACCTGGGCGGGTTCCCATAATGATAATTAAAATAACATGGGAGCTGTTTTAACAGTTTTTATTGAAATGTGCAACGAACAAATTCTTTTTCTTTATTTCTTTGTTCGTCCTAACCTTCGCTCACACGTCGTCCCTACAGAGCCGCGCCCGGGACCACTGTCACCGAGGCGCACAAACTTTCTGTGGCACGTTTCATATCTGGACCTGCAGACTCCTGGACTGACGCCGTAAGGCTTCGTACTTTAACGAACTCCTCCTGGGATTTAGTCCGACCGACTTCAGATTTGTGCCGTGCGGTCTAAACCTGACGACCTAACTGACCATTTAAAGTTGGTTTTGTTGAGTTGAGTTTTTGTGGAACAGCGTGACTGTGGCATCCAAAATTGATTATTCGCCATAAAACAGGAAGTTGTTGTAACTTACTAACTGTACATGCTCACATCTGCATCAAACTCTACATGGTTAACAACGGCCCCGCCCAGAACACAACGCCAAATCACAACTACAGTTATCTCACAGCGCTTCTACATCTACAACCCGATATTCAGTTACAGTCGCAGAGCCACCTACTGGCAACAGGAAGTAAGCTCTGTCTGGCACTCACTGTGCGATTTGAATAATATTTTCACAGCCTGTTGCACCACCATCCTGAGACATGACTTACAGTTACCAGGTGCTCTGTAGCGCCACATAGGGGACACAGGAAGTGGCGTTTAAGCCCTCTGTGAAGCGTCCAAAGTGCGTGTTGATTCAGAGCCGCGTCACACCCCGGCGTGCTGCACGTGCGAGGGCCCGCCCAGCGCAGAATGCAGCTTTTATTTTGTTGATTATAACCCTTCCAGTCTGTCTCACCTGTCTGTAGTCATGGGTAGAGAGATGGTTCACCTGAACGTCGTGGCCATTGGACACGTGGATTCTGGGAAATCGACCACAATAGGTCACCTGATCTACAAACTGGGAGGAATCGACAAGGCGACAATCGAGAAGTACGAGAAGGAGGCCCAGGAGGTCAGTACTACACAGTACTACTGCAGTACTACTGCAGTATATTTCAGTGATTGGTGTCATGTTGCTGTGGTTACAGATGGGGAAGGGATCCTTTAAGTACGCCTGGGTGATGGACAAGCTGAAGTCGGAGCGTGAGCGGGGCATCACCATCGACATCACGCTCCGGACGTTTGAGACTAACAAGTATGCCGTCACCATCATCGACGCGCCAGGGCACCGTGACTTTATCAAGAACATGATCACCGGAACCTCCCAGGTCCAGCCCACTTCCTCTGATGTCACACTGTCTCAGGACACTAGTCTAACACGTTTAGGTTATATTCAGTAATGCTAGGCTCCATGCTAACTCTTTAGCTTAAGCAATGTTCAGGGATGCTAAGCTCCATGCTGACATTTTAGAATATATTACATTCACTGATGCTAAGCTCCATGCTAACACTTTAGCTTAGATGATGTTCTGTGATGTTAAGCTTTATGCTAACAATTTAGTTTAGATAATGTTCAGTGATTCTAAGCTCCATGCTAACTCTTTAGCTTAAACAATGTTCAGGGATGCTAAGCTCCATGCTGACATTTTAGAATATATTACATTCACTGATGCTAAGCTCCATGCTAACACTTTAGCTTAGATGATGTTCTGTGATGTTAAGCTTTATGCTAACAATTTAGTTTAGATAAGGTTCTGTGATTCTAAGCTCCATGCTAACTCTTTAGCTTAGACAATGTTTAGCGATGCTAAGCTCCATGCTAACACTTTAGTTTAGATGACGTCCAGTGATGCTAAGCTCCATGCTAACACTTAAGCTTAGACAATGTTTAGCGATGCTAAGCTCCATGCTAACACTTTAGTTTAGAGAATGTGCAGTGATGCTAGGCTCAATGCTAACACTTTAGTTTAGATGATGTACAGTGATGCTAAGCTTTATGTTAACACTTTAGTTTAGATGATGTTCACTGATGCTAAGCTCCATGCTAACAATTTAGTTTAGATGATGTTCAGTGATTCTAAGCTCCATGCTAACACTTTAGCACATGTTATATTCACTGATGCTAGGCTCCATGCTAACTCTTTAGCTTAAACGATGTTCAGGGATGCTAAGCTCCGTGCTAACACTTTAGTTTAGATGACGTCCAGTGATGCTAGGCATGTTATATTCACTGATGCTAGGCTCCATGCTAACTCTTTAGCTTAAACGATGTTCAGGGATGCTAAGCTCCGTGTTAACACTTTAGTTTAGATGATGTTCAGTGATGCTAAGCTTTATGTTAACACTTTAGTTTAGATGATGTTCACTGATGCTAAGCTCCATGCTAACACTTTAGTTTAGATGACGTCCAGTGATGCTAAGCTCCATGCTAACACTTAAGCTTAGATAACGTTTAGCGATGCTAAGCTCCATGCTAACACTTTAGTTTAGAGAATGTGCAGTGATGCTAGGCTCAATGCTAACACTTTAGTTTAGATGATGTACAGTGATGCTAAGCTTTATGTTAACACTTTAGTTTAGATGATGTTCACTGATGCTAAGCTCCATGCTAACAATTTAGCACATGTTATATTCACTGATGCTAGGCTCCATGCTAACTCTTTAGCTTAAACGATGTTCAGGGATGCTAAGCTCCGTGCTAACACTTTAGTTTAGATGACGTCCAGTGATGCTAGGCATGTTATATTCACTGATGCTAGGCTCCATGCTAACTCTTTAGCTTAAACGATGTTCAGGGATGCTAAGCTCTGTGTTAACACTTTAGTTTAGATGATGTTCAGTGATGCTAGGCTCAATGCTAACACTTTAGTTTAGATGATGTACAGTGATGCTAAGCTTTATGTTAACACTTTAGTTTAGATGATGTTCACTGATGCTAAGCTCCATGCTAACACTTTAGTTTAGATGACGTCCAGTGATGCTAAGCTCCATGCTAACACTTAAGCTTAGATAACATTTAGCGATGCTAAGCTCCATGCTAACACTTTAGTTTAGAGAATGTTCAGTGATGCTAAGCTTTATGTTAACACTTTAGTTTAGATGATGTACAGTGATGCTAAGCTTTATGTTAACACTTTAGTTTAGATGATGTTCACTGATGCTAAGCTCCATGCTAACACTTTAGTTTAGATGATGTTCAGTGATTCTAAGCTCCATGCTAACACTTTAGCACATGTTATATTCACTGATGCTAGGCTCCATGCTAACTCTTTAGCTTAAACGATGTTCAGGGATGCTAAGCTCCGTGCTAACACTTTAGTTTAGATGACGTCCAGTGATGCTAGGCATGTTATATTCACTGATGCTAGGCTCCATGCTAACTCTTTAGCTTAAACGATGTTCAGGGATGCTAAGCTCCGTGTTAACACTTTAGTTTAGATGATGTTCAGTGATGCTAGGCTCAATGCTAACACTTTAGTTTAGATGATGTACAGTGATGCTAAGCTCCATGCTAACACTTTAGTTTAGATGACGTCCAGTGATGCTAAGCTCCATGCTAACACTTAAGCTTAGATAACGTTTAGCGATGCTAAGCTCCATGCTAACACTTTAGTTTAGAGAATGTTCAGTGATGCTAAGCTTTATGTTAACACTTTAGTTTAGATGATGTTCACTGATGCTAAGCTCCATGCTAACACTTTAGCTTAGACAATGTTCAGTGATGCTAGGCTCAATGCTAACACTTTAGTTTAGATGATGTACAGTGATGCTAGGCTCCATGCTAACACCTTAGCCCACTCTGTTGAAGGATGTTTAAATTGCTGATGTCACTGATGATGTCACCACAGGCTGACTGTGCCGTGCTGATCGTGTCGGCAGCGACTGGAGAGTTTGAGGCTGGAATCTCTGAGAAGGGTCAGATGCATGAACACGCTCTGCTAGCTTACACGCTAGGAGTAAGAAAGATGATTGTAGGCATCAACAAGATGGACCTCATCAACTACAGCGAGGGTCGCTTCAACGAGGTGAAGACGGAGGTCGTGAAGTCCATCAAAAAGATTGGATACAACCCGAGCACTCTGCACTTCATCCCGATGAGTGGCTTTCAAGGAGACAACGTGATCGAACCCTCAGAGAAGGTAAGAACGTCACTTGATTGGACAGACATTTCCCTGCAACAGATTATTCAACTGAAGTCTTTAAAAGATGACATTTGGAAATCCTTCGTTAGCAGTTACTGAGAACTCAGGAAGGACTTGAGTTTCCGATTTAGTGATTTATAACGAGTTGCTGCAGCTCAGAGAGGAGCCCTGAAAAACCATTGGTACATCTGCTTTCCTCAGAAGTTGGAAGTTGGAGGCGGGAATGACGTCACGGTTGAGTTGTTACCAACGGCGGCTGATAAAAAGGCATAACGCTGTATTAACGCATACTAAACGCAGTAAATGAGACACAAATACACAGAAGTGCTCATAAACAGTACCTGTTGATATTCTGAGCAGCCATCTTGGATCACAAAGTCGGTGGTAGTGAGGTTCTCCCAACTTTCCAACTTAAAGGGGCATTGAAAATTTCAACTGGGAACTCGGAAATTCCAACTTCCCAGTTAAACTGGAACGCACCACGTGTATCGCCCACGTGCACTTCATGTGCGTGTGTGTACAGCGCTTGGCAAGGTCAGAAACTCCTACAGCCTGGAGGAGCTGGGGATTGAACAATTTAGTGGTGCAGAACCTTCCTTGATGGATCTCCAAACTCTTCTCAGAAATCTGGAGGCCTGTTAATCTGCTATGAAATCCTCGAGCCAGTACTTATCCTTCCAAACTTCTGGCTTCGTACCTGTTACGCGTTTGATTGTGGAATTTCCTGTTTTGTTTTGTAGTTATCTCTCATGGTGTTTCGTGCATGACTTTAACTTCCTCTCTTGTCATGAATTGTCTGCACCTGCCCTCATGTATTCCACCTGCGTTCAATTCAGTAAGAGAGCCGATATGCCTTTAGCACCTTTGTTGTGTTACAAAACAGTCTTTTTCTACGCCGCTAGTTAATTAGTTAGTCTGGAAAGCCGGATCACTATGTGAAAGCACACAGGTTTGCGGGATTATGCGGGGCACGTTTGTTCAGTATGAATGAGCGAATGCGGCATATTTACATTTATTCCTTTAGTCCATATGCTATACATGTCAAAGGTCTCACGCTTCTGGAGCAACGAGGGGTTAAGTGTCTTGCTCAGGGACACAATGGTGGATGTCTCACAGTGGGAATCGAACCCTGGTCTCCCACATCTATGCGCCACCACCACCCCTGTATTCTATCCGACAGTAATCTGCAGCGGATCTCTTATAAGGGGCGGCTGTGGCTCAGGAGGTCGGCGGTTGTAGTGTAAAAGCGCTTTGAGTGGTCGAAAAGACTAGAAAGGCACTATACAAGTACAGAGCATTTACATTATCAACTTGGACTTCTTGGACTGTAAGTGTCCTCACAGACAATAATAATCACACCCTCCTGTATCCCTTTAAGCTCAGTTACAAATTTATCCCTTCGGACAAAAATTTCCTAATTTAAACCCATTATAACATATTTCAAATATTTAGCTTTAATTACAACATAAAAATATTTTTTACAGATCATCACCCCTTCAGTCTGTTAAAAAAGGATGGAATTTTCGATTTTCACTCTTACCCAGCAGATGGCACTGCTTACCTTTGTGCAGCATGTGGTTGAATCAGAGTGATGGGGGAACCAGAGACCGGCCGTTCCTGGAAATGCCGGCCGCCTACAAGAGCTCCTCCGCCGGGTCGTCATGGACCGTAGTGTCACGGCGGAGCTCCGACAAAAATTATTTCTCACTTCTTCCTCCTGCCTCCTGCAGTCCCTCTGTTCCTCACCGACTCCCATACACATGAACGTGGATGTGCACACATTTATCAATAAAAAAAAAAGATGTCTGGCGTGAGGGAAATGATGCAGTTTTGCTTGTGGTTCTCTCTCCACAGATGCCATGGTATAAGGGTTCGAGAACTGACATGGCAGGTGATAGTTATTCTGGAAAGAGTCTGCTTGAAGCTCTGGACTGCATCTCCCCTCCTCGTCGACCCATTGAGCGGCCTCTGAGGGTTCCTCTGCAGGACGTCTACAAGATCGGAGGTAACTACATTTACTCAAGTACTGCTCTGAAATACAATTTACAGGTACTTCTACTTTATTAGACTGTTTGGAGACATTTAGGAGGACTCTGTAGGGGCTATAAGATACTTTGTGAATAGAAACCCTGGTCTGTGTTCTATTGGTTCAGGTGTTGGGATGGTGCCAGTGGGTCGTGTGGAGATGGGGGTCTTGAAGCCCGGCATGGAGGTGACGTTTGCCCCTCAGAATCTGAGCTCAGAGGTGAAGTCAGTGCAGATGCACCACCAGTCTCTGCCCGAGGCTCTGGCCGGAGACAACGTCGGCTTCAGCATCAAAGATCTCTCCATCAAAGACATCAGACGAGGGAGCGTAGCTGGAGACAGCAACAACGAGCCGCCACGTGGAGTTGCCTCCTTCATAGCTCAGGTCAGTCACTGTCTGCCCGTCAGGTACAGTGTTGGGACGCTGTATTATATAGAGCTCTGTGAGGACGGGTAGTGGGTTCAAGTGTTTCAGTGGTAATAATAAGTGTTTCAGTGGTAATAATAAGTCTTTCAGTGGTAATAATAAGTGTTTCAGTGGTAATAAGTCTTTCAGTGGTAATAAGTCTTTCAGTGGTAATAATAAGTCTTTCAGTGGTAATAATAAGTCTTTCAGTGGTAATAATAAGTCGTTCAGTGGTAATAATAAGTCTTTCAGTGGTAATAAGTCTTTCAGTGGTAATAATAAGTCTTTCAGTGGTAATAATAAGTGTTTCAGTGGTAATAATAAGTCTTTCAGTGGTAATAATAAGTCTTTCAGTGGTAATAAGTGTTTCAGTGGTAATAAGTCTTTCAGTGGTAATAATAAGTCTTTCAGTGGTAATAATAAGTGTTTCAGTGGTAATAATAAGTCTTTCAGTGGTAATAAGTCTTTCAGTGGTAATAATAAGTCTTTCAGTGGTAATAATAAGTGTTTCAGTGGTAATAATAAGTCTTTCAGTGGTAATAAGTCTTTCAGTGGTAATAATAAGTCTTTCAGTGGTAATAATAAGTGTTTCAGTGGTAATAATAAGTCTTTCAGTGGTAATAATAAGTCTTTCAGTGGTAATAATAAGTCTTTCAGTGGTAATAATAAGTCTTTCAGTGGTAATAATAAGTCTTTCAGTGGTAATAATAAGTCTTTCAGTGGTAATAAGTCTTTCAGTGGTAATAATAAGTCTTTCAGTGGTAATAATAAGTGTTTCAGTGGTAATAATAAGTCTTTCAGTGGTAATAATAAGTCTTTCAGTGGTAATAATAAGTCTTTCAGTGGTAATAATAAGTGTTTCAGTGGTAATAATAAGTCTTTCAGTGGTAATAATAAGTCTTTCAGTGGTAATAATAAGTCTTTCAGTGGTAATAAGTGTTTCAGTGGTAATAAGTCTCTCAGTGGTAATAAGTCTTTCAGTGGTAATAATAAGTCTTTCAGTGGTAATAATAAGTGTTTCAGTGGTAATAATAAGTGTTTCAGTGGTAATAAGTCTTTCAGTGGTAATAAGTCTTTCAGTGGTAATAATAAGTCTTTCAGTGGTAATAATAAGTGTTTCAGTGGTAATAAGTCTTTCAGTGGTAATAAGTCTTTCAGTGGTAATAATAAGTCTTTCAGTGGTAATAATAAGTCTTTCAGTGGTAATAATAAGTGTTTCAGTGGTAATAAGTCTTTCAGTGGTAATAAGTGTTTCAGTGGTAATAAGTCTTTCAGTGGTAATAAGTCTTTCAGTGGTAATAAGTCTTTCAGTGGTAATAATAAGTCTTTCAGTGGTAATAATAAGTCTTTCAGTGGTAATAAGTCTTTCAGTGGTAATAATAAGTGTTTCAGTAGTAATAATAAGTCTTTCAGTGGTAATAATAAGTGTTTCAGTGGTAATAATAAGTGTTTCAGTGGTAATAATAAGTCTTTCAGTGGTAATAATAAGTGTTTCAGTAGTAATAATAAGTCTTTCAGTGGTAATAATAAGTGTTTCAGTGGTAATAATAAGTGTTTCAGTGGTAATAATAAGTCTTTCAGTGGTAATAATAAGTGTTTCAGTGGTAATAAGTGTTTCAGTGGTAATAATAAGTCTTTCAGTGGTAATAATAAGTCTTTCAGTGGTAATAATAAGTGTTTCAGTGGTAATAAGTCTTTCAGTGGTAATAAGTCTTTCAGTGGTAATAAGTGTTTCAGTGGTAATAATAAGTCTTTCAGTGGTAATAAGTGTTTCAGTGGTAATAAGTCTTTCAGTGGTAATAATAAGTCTTTCAGTGGTAATAAGTCTTTCAGTGGTAATAAGTCTTTCAGTGGTAATAATAAGTGTTTCAGTGGTAATAATAAGTCTTTCAGTGGTAATAATAAGTCTTTCAGTGGTAATAAGTCTTTCAGTGGTAATAATAAGTCTTTCAGTGGTAATAAGTCTTTCAGTGGTAATAATAAGTCTTTCAGTGGTAATAATAAGTCTTTCAGTGGTAATAATAAGTGTTTCAGTGGTAATAAGTGTTTCAGTGGTAATAAGTCTTTCAGTGGTAATAATAAGTGTTTCAGTGGTAATAATAAGTGTTTCAGTGGTAATAAGTCTTTCAGTGGTAATAATAAGTCTTTCAGTGGTAATAATAAGTGTTTCAGTGGTAATAATAAGTGTTTCAGTGGTAATAATAAGTGTTTCAGTGGTAATAATAAGTGTTTCAGTGGTAATAAGTCTTTCAGTGGTAATAATAAGTCTTTCAGTGGTAATAATAAGTCTTTCAGTGGTAATAATAAGTGTTTCAGTGGTAATAAGTCTTTCAGTGGTAATAATAAGTGTTTCAGTGGTAATAAGTCTTTCAGTGGTAATAATAAGTCTTTCAGTGGTAATAAGTCTTTCAGTGGTAATAATAAGTCTTTCAGTGGTAATAATAAGTCTTTCAGTGGTAATAATAAGTGTTTCAGTGGTAATAAGTGTTTCAGTGGTAATAAGTGTTTCAGTGGTAATAATAAGTCTTTCAGTGGTAATAATAAGTGTTTCAGTGGTAATAAGTCTTTCAGTGGTAATAATAAGTCTTTCAGTGGTAATAAGTCTTTCAGTGGTAATAATAAGTGTTTCAGTGGTAATAAGTGTTTCAGTGGTAATAATAAGTCTTTCAGTGGTAATAATAAGTCTTTCAGTGGTAATAAGTGTTTCAGTGGTAATAATAAGTCTTTCAGTGGTAATAATAAGTGTTTCAGTGGTAATAATAAGTGTTTCAGTGGTAATAAGTGTTTCAGTGGTAATAATAAGTCTTTCAGTGGTAATAATAAGTGTTTCAGTGGTAATAATAAGTGTTTCAGTGGTAATAATAAGTCTTTCAGTGGTAATAATAAGTGTTTCAGTGGTAATAATAAGTGTTTCAGTGGTAATAAGTCTTTCAGTGGTAATAATAAGTCTTTCAGTGGTAATAAGTGTTTCAGTGGTAATAAGTGTTTCAGTGGTAATAATAAGTCTTTCAGTGGTAATAATAAGTGTTTCAGTGGTAATAATAAGTCTTTCAGTGGTAATAATAAGTGTTTCAGTGGTAATAATAAGTGTTTCAGTGGTAATAAGTCTTTCAGTGGTAATAATAAGTCTTTCAGTGGTAATAAGTGTTTCAGTGGTAATAAGTGTTTCAGTGGTAATAATAAGTCTTTCAGTGGTAATAATAAGTGTTTCAGTGGTAATAATAAGTGTTTCAGTGGTAATAATAAGTCTTTCAGTGGTAATAATAAGTGTTTCAGTGGTAATAATAAGTGTTTCAGTGGTAATAAGTCTTTCAGTGGTAATAAGTCTTTCAGTGGTAATAATAAGTCTTTCAGTGGTAATAATAAGTCTTTCAGTGGTAATAATAAGTGTTTCAGTGGTAATAAGTCTTTCAGTGGTAATAATAAGTGTTTCAGTGGTAATAAGTCTTTCAGTGGTAATAAGTGTTTCAGTGGTAATAATAAGTCTTTCAGTGGTAATAATAAGTCTTTCAGTGGTAATAATAAGTCTTTCAGTGGTAATAATAAGTCTTTCAGTGGTAATAAGTGTTTCAGTGGTAATAAGTGTTTCAGTGGTAATAATAAGTGTTTCAGTGGTAATAATAAGTGTTTCAGTGGTAATAATAAGTCTTTCAGTGGTAATAATAAGTCTTTCAGTGGTAATAATAAGTCTTTCAGTGGTAATAAGTGTTTCAGTGGTAATAATAAGTCTTTCAGTGGTAATAATAAGTGTTTCAGTGGTAATAATAAGTGTTTCAGTGGTAATAATAAGTGTTTCAGTGGTAATAAGTCTTTCAGTGGTAATAATAAGTGTTTCAGTGGTAATAATAAGTGTTTCAGTGGTAATAAGTGTTTCAGTGGTAATAATAAGTGTTTCAGTGGTAATAAGTCTTTCAGTGGTAATAATAAGTCTTTCAGTGGTAATAATAAGTCTTTCAGTGGTAATAATAAGTGTTTCAGTGGTAATAATAAGTCTTTCAGTGGTAATAAGTAATAATAATAATAATAATAATTCTTATTTGTAGAGCACTTTTCAAAAACAAGTTACAAAGTGCTTTAACAAGTGTAAAGAATAATACAAAAAAGATAAGAGCATGAAAATTTTATATAAAATTAGTAAAATAGAATAAAATAAAAGGGATAAAATAAAGTCAAATAAGATCGGGAAAGGCTCTCCTATAAAAGTATGTTTTAAGAAGGGACTTAAAAGAGTTCACCGACTCAGCCGACCTGATTTCCTCGGGCAGGCTGTTCCACAGCCTCGGGGCCCTGACAGCAAACGCTCTGTCCCCTTTAGTTTTCAGTCGAGACTCTGGAACAGACAACAGACCTCTGCCCGAGGATCTCAAGGTACGTGCTGGTGCGTATGGGACTAAAAGGTCAGAAATATAACAAGGCGAGAGGCCATGAAGAGCTTTAAAAGTGATCAATAGAATTTTAAAGTCAATTCTAAAACACACTGGGAGCCAGTGTAATGAAGCTAAAATAGGAGTAATGTGGTCATTTTCTTTGTTCTGGTTAAAAGCCTGGCAGCTGAGTTCTGGGCAGTCTGGAGTCCATCAATAGATTTTTGGGTTAAACAGGTGAAAAGGCTGTTGCAATAATCCAGGCGTGATGAGATGAAGGCGTGTAAAATGGTCTCGGTGTCCTTAAAAGTTAACATAGATCGAATTTTAGCTATATTTCTAAGTTGATAAAAACATGATTGAACAAGCTTTGTGGTGTGCTGCTCGAAATTTAAATTACTATCAAACCAAACACCAAGGTTCTTTGCCACAGGCTTAATGTGATTTACTAGGGAACCAGCAGATGGCAGTATTTGATTTGCCATCTGCTGAGACCCGATGACCAGGATTTCTGTTTTGTCTGAGTTCAGCTGGAGGAAATTATTTGACATCCATTTTTTAACTTCACAAAGGCAGTTGTTAAGTGAACTCAGCATTCCAGGGTCTGTGGATCTGACGGGCAAGTACATTTGTGTGTCATCAGCATAAATATGAAAAGAAATGCCATGTTTATGGATAATATGTCCAAGGGGAAGCAGATACAAGGAAAACAAAATGGGTCCTAAGACCGACCCCTGAGGCACACCATATTTAACTGGACAGAATGAAGAGACATAGTTGTTTACAGACACGCAAAACTTCCTATTTGACAGGTAGGATGAAAACCATTCTAGGGCAGTACCAGAGATCCCCACCCAGTGCCTCAGTCTGTCTAACATGATGTTGTGATCAATGGTGTCAAAAGCAGCGCTAAGGTCCAGGAGTACCAGGACTGAGCACATGCCTTCATCAGCAGACATTAAAAGGTCATTGGTGACTTTAAGCAGGGCAGTCTCAGTGCTGTGGTACTTCCTAAAACCAGACTGAAACTTCTCAAATAATTTGTTATTTTCCAGCACAGTAAGCAGCTGTTTGGACACAATTCTTTCTAGAATCTTTGCAATAAAAGGCAGTTTTGAAATTGGTCTAAAATTATGTGGGAGGGAGGGATCTAAACCAGGTTTCTTTAAAAGTGGGTTCACGCAAGCAGTTTTAAAATAATCAGGGACACAAGCAGTAGATAGGGAGCTGTTGAAAACAGAGATCAAATGGGGCCCAACAGAATCTATTACTTTCAGTAAAAACTTTGTAGGTATTACATCAAGTGGGCTGGAGGACACTCTCATTTGTGATACTGTTTTTAAAAGCTCAGACAAGTCGATGGGATAAAACTGGTTAAAACTCTCTTGTTGCTGGTGAGGAACCTCTGAGTAAGAGGCCACGGGGGTAATACAGGCTCTGATTGACACCACCTTATTGGTAAAATAAGATAAAAACAATTCACAGTCATCATTACTTCCAGCTGAGGCACAAGGAGGGGTTGGGTTTACCAGCTGATCCACAGTCTTAAACAGAAACCTGGGATTGTGTTTATGTGTAGTAATGAGTTCAGAAAAATAGTGTGTTCTTGCATCCTTAACCATGTTATTGTAGTTAATTAATAAATCCTTCAGACTGAGGTAATGGACTTGGAGACTGGATTTTTTCCATCTGCGCTCTGCTTTCCTGCATTCCCTTTTTAGGCTGCGAATGCTGTCATTTATCCAGGGTTGCTTACTAGCTTTAGACGTAGGCCTAACCTTTAGAGGAGCAGTAATATTTAGTGACGACAAGCAGATATGATTGAAGTGATCGACCAGATTGTTGGTGTTGGAATCAGACAGGTGTTGGCTTTGGCTCTGACAGAATGTGCAAACTTTGAAACACTTTGTTCATTAAAGATGCGAGAACACACGGAGCTTGGTGAGGCGGCATGAGTAACAGGCGAATCGCAGCTAAAAACAATCCATCTGTGGTCAGATATGGTCATGTCCACTAATTCCACAGAGGAAATGCTGACACCCAGGGTAAAAACTAAGTCCAGTGTATGACCACGGTTATGTGTTTGCCCTTTGACATGTTGTTTGAAGTTAAAAGAAGTGGCCATATTTAAAAAGTCAGTTGCATTAACATTGTTGGGATCATCAACATGAATATTAAAATCGCCACAAAGAACAATTCTGTCATAATTTAAAACCAGAGTAGATAAAAATTCAGGAAGTTCTGATAAAAATCCTCCAGGCGGTTTTGGGGGGCGATAAATTATAACAAATATGATAGGTTGCAGCCCTCCAACTTTAAGAGTGAGAACTTCAAAGGAGTTAAATTCATCACAGCGTACTTGATGACATTTAAAAATTTTCCTATACACGCTCACTAGCCCACCACCACGACCACTGACCCTCGGTTGACTAAAGCAATCATATTGAGGCGGACACAGTTCAGCTAGCTGGCTATAGTCATTCATCTGCAACCAGGATTCAGTTAAAAACATAAAATCTAGATTTGCAGACAAGATAAAATCATTTAAGATGAAAGTCTTACTTGAAAGTGATCTCACATTGAAGAGAGCCATTTTAAATGAGTTTGTTCTGGGTGCTGGAGTTGGTGCAGTTGTCCTAATCCTTAAGAGATTACTAATATTTCTGTGTGGGATGTGCACATTTCGGTTTACTGGTCTATGCGTGATGATGACAGGAATAGAAGTCTTTGGAACAACGCTGGGAGCAGACGGCTTTACATGCCAGCAGGTGGAGACAGTTGTTTGTGGCAGTGAGGCAGAGATCTGTTCAGTGAGCGGTGGTGTGTCCAGGTGTGCTGCATGAATGATTAGTCATTCACGTAAGTCATGTGTGGACCGCACCACATGCTGTATGTGAGCAGCTAACATTTCTGAGCCCCGTTTGTTTGGGTGAAGTCCGTCTGTCTTAAAAAGAGACATTCTTTGCCAGAAAATATTAAAATTATCCACATAAAACACACGGTGAGCCCTGCAGGCGGACTGGAGCCAGTCGTGGAGGTCAAGGAGTCTACTGAAGCGGCCAGCACCGCGACCAACTGTGGGAATGGGACCAGAGATAAAAACGGACTTTCCACACTGCTTTAAAAAGTTAAGAAGACGTTTAAAATCTGATTTTGTCAGCTCAGACTGCCGAAGAGCTGTGTCATTTGTTCCGACATGGACTATCACTCTTGTGATGGAGGACGGGAGCGACGGCATCAGGTCCTGGAGTTTATTTAAAATGACAGCCGTGGTGGCACCAGGGAAGCAGTGAGTGGTAGCGTTAAAGAAACAGATGTTTCTGGTTATGGAGTCACCAATTATTAGTGTGGTTGGGGAGAAAAGAGGACGAGGAGATGCCGGTTGTGGGGTTCCAGAGCAGGACTGAGCAGAATCTGCTTCAACACTGCGTGCGGACTGAGGATGGAGTGTGTGAGCTGTTGAGTGTTGGAGTAGCAGTAACACACCTGAGGGAAGGGCTACCCGACGGTGCAGGGTAGAGACGGCCTCCGGAGCGTCTGGCACAGCCTCCTTCAGGATCCTACGTCGGGAAGCGGAGGTTTTTGACCGGGATGACGGCCGCCGATCAGGTCCGGCGGCAGACCGGCGGCCCAGCGCGGGAGATGTAGCCGGTGGAGGAGATGCAACAGTGTCGGCAGGCACTGTGCGCCGAAAGAGATCCGTATCAGGGAGACTCGAAGCCGCAGGTGAATCCGCTGGATGGACTGGAGTGTCGTTCGACAAGGCTGCATAGCGGTTGGAGAGGCCGATGTGCGGAGGAGAGGCAGCCCCATCCGAGCCTCTCTTGCAGCCACGGACCACCACTTCAGCCCAGGTTGACTGATGCTTCGGAGTCGAGCAGGATGAAAGCCTGGGAAGGCTAGAGGGGTCCCAAAACACGGTGTCCTGGATGTTAGCGGTTGCGCTAAGAGAAACAATCTGTTTGGCTTGTACTGAAGCCACATCCATAAAGCCAGTCAGCAGGGAATCTTTCTCTTTGAGTTCCTCTGAAAGTCGTCGGATGTCTTCCATAAGGTCAGCAATCTTCTTGTTCGCTTTCTTAAGAGTGAGCAGTCCTCATGGGGCAGAGTTATCTCGGCTAGCATAGTCACCGGAGCTTTGTTGCGATCAGGAGCGTTGATCGCGTTTTTACGGTCATCTAGTTTAAAATCCATGTCGGATGACTAAAATCCTTAACCCACGTAAAACTTAAATAAAGTTAAGTTAAATAAAAAGGATATAAAAAATGTAACGAAAAAAGAGTGGATTAAAACTGGATAAGAGTCCGGTTTAAGACGGAGCTTCCGACAGGTGGCTACAGACGCCAACGCATGCGCAGAGTGCAGTGGTAATAAAAAGTGTTTCAGTGGTAATAAAAAGTGTTTCAGTGGTAATAAAAAGTGTTTCAGTGGTAATAAAAAGTGTTTCATGTGGGCAGGTGATCGTGTTGAACCACCCTCGGTATATCCACGCTGGTTACACCCCGGTGATAGACTGCCACACAGCCCACATCGCCTGTAAATTTGAGGAGCTTGTGGAGAAGGTGGACCGGCACACTGGGAGGGCTACAGAGAACAATCCCCAAAATATCAAAAACGGAGACGCCGCCAACGTCCTGATGACTCCCACCAAACCGATGGTGGTGGAGACCTACACCGGGTGCCCCCCGCTGGGTGAGTGAAGGGTTAAAGTCAGGACTCCACTGATCATGCCTGCCTTTGGTGTGAGAGACCCGGGTTCGAATCCCACTGTGACACATCCACCATTGTGTCCCTGAGCAACACACTTAACCCCTCGCTGCTCCAGAGGCGTACGACCTCTGACATGTAGAGCAGATCTAAATGTTTTGGATAAAAGCTTCTAATGAATAAATGTAACAGCAGGAAATCAGCACTGAAGGTTCAGCTGCAGGAAAAAAGTAATCCATCTTTAACCAGGTAAGACCCTCTGACATCACAGATCTCTTTTCCAACGGCGACCTGCCAAGAAAGAAACTTCAAAAGATTACAGACGAGAACAAAGAAAAATAGAAGAAAAAAAAACTTCAGGTTACTTTAAAATAACTGAACACACTGACCCAGCAGCACCGTTCATCACCTTATATATGATAACCAGTTCTCTTGAGCCACGTTTGCACCAATAGACCCCAGATCTCTTTTCAAGGAACTCAAAGGCTCCTTCAGCCCACTGTTGTGTGCGTTTCCACCGCGGTCTGAAGACCTGGAAACATTAGGCAGATTAACCATCTGACATAGGCTGTAGGCCTGCACGCCACACACAGCGATGCACAGGCGTCATTATTTGTAATGGCGCATTTAGAAATGAGCATCAGATCTGATGGAATATAATGAAAAACTACAGGCTGTGTTTGACCATTAAAGCAGCTTTTTGTGTGGGAGAATAATGAAGAGACACACGATAAAGTTACACATTTAATAAACTGGATGAAGTTCTAAAAATAACTCCGGCACAGAGAAAGCAACACAAAAGTAAAATGGCGACAGTTTGGAAGGTTATTAAAACATTTCCAGCCGACGAGAGCTGCAGATCAGCTGCGGCATCACGTCTGAGTTTAACAAGCTTTATTATCTGCTGTGATCAGCTTGTTTCAGAGAGGAGAACGACTTCAGCTCCGTGGAAAAACCTCCTGACTGATAAAAAGTCCAAGAGTCGGGGGTTCCCCGGTGTCATGGCAAAATTCCCAACCTGGTTTTCACCTTCTGGCCATTTAATCATCCCCCGCAGTAACTGGCTCAATGTTCCTCTAGCTGATGTGTGGTGAGTGTTCTGGCGCTAAATGGCTGCCGTGCATCACCCAGGTGGGTGCTACACATTGGTGGTGGTTGAGGCGAGTCCCCCCCCCACTTCACTGTGAAGCGATAGAGATTAATGGCAATAAAGCAAGCTGTCAATATTTTATTATCACAAATCATGCTTTTAGGGGAGCTGATGTCTTTAAGCACCCTCCTCCTCGGAGTCAGCAGACTGCCCAGGCTACATTTACAGTCATTCATTTAGACTTACAATTGAGTATGACAGAGGCCTCTGGAGCAGCGAGGGGTCACGGTGGGAATTTAACCCTCTCACACCAAAGACGTGTCTTATCCACTGCTCCATCACCAGCCCAAGAGGCGCACTAGAGGGCATCGCTGTCCTTTCACAAAACAATGTGAAGTAAAACCTCCACCCCTCCAAAGACGTCTTTGGCAGCTCGGCCATTTCTGCGTCCTCATGAACTGGCGCTGAAGTCAAAAGTGAGGTCGGAAAAGTGTCACGCAAACACGCACGAAAAGGGAAGTTTGATTTATTTTTCTCTCCTCCCGTTAAGCGGAAAGTTCAAGAACCAGTTCGCAGTAACGCGATGATTTTGTCATTAGTAACTGTAATGTGATTTCTGAAGTTATCCGCAGTAATGTAACGCATTATAGATCTGAGTGAGGTGTCTTATTCTAAATATTATCTGGAGTATTTTATTATAGATTTATAGATCAGGTTCAGTTTCACCAGAATAAATCTGTCATAGTAATAATTGATCTGTTTGGTTTCAGGTCGGTTTGTGGTCCGCGACATGAGGCAGACGGTGGCGATCGGCGTGGTGAAGAGCGTCTTGAATGGGGAGCCGCCGTCAAAGGTCACCAAGTCAAAGAAGAAGTGATGTCACTTCCTATCAGCCATGTTTACTGCCTCAGACTACCAGCTGTCAATCAAAATAATCAGTCATTAATAAAAGCTCATGAGACTGCGAGGCTTGTGTCTGTGTTTCTATTGGTCGCTCTGCTGCATGTCGCTGTTTGTGTTTATTAACAGAAGAGCAGCCTGAACAGGGAATCAGGTCACATGATCAGTCTGTTTTTTCCTTTTCAGACAAGACAGGAAGCTGTGTGTGTGCCTGCGGTTGCAGCTTGTCATGCGATGATGACCATGTGAGCACGCTGTCACGCAATGTGGCTGATTCCTGTTTCGATGACATCACACACAGCCCCTTGTTTCCACCACTCATGAGGACACCAAGCCGTGACCAGACTTCTCCACACTGAGTCTCAGTAGTGCAGTTCAAGTACTGCAGTACATGACCTCAGTTACTCTCTAACACGTGTACTGATGGTTTACATGGCGCTCAGTCTGACCTCAGCTCAGACCCAGTTAAACACGTCTTGTATTTCTGACCTTGTGGGGTCCAGCAGAACCATGTCAGGGCTGAGACTCGGTGGAAAGTATGTATATATATAGCCTCTATCTCCTACTTTGGCCTCCACAGAAGAAGTGGCTGATATCAAGAAATCCTACCAGTGGCTGGAAAAGGCTGGACTGAAGGACAGCACAGAAGCACTAATCATGGCGGGACAAGAACAGGCACTCAGTTCAAGGTCAATAGAGGCTGGGGTCTACCTCACCAGGCAGGACCCCAGGTGCAGACTGTGCAAGGACGCCCCTGAGACAGTACAGCACATAACAGCAGGGTGTAAGATGCAGGCAGGAAGTGCGTACATGGAACGCCATAACCAGGTAACTGGCATAGTGTACAGGAACATCTGCCCTGAGTATGGGCTGGAAGTCCCAAGGTCAAAATGGAAGACACCTCCTAAGATAGTTGAGAATGACCGAGCTAAGATCCTGTGGGACTTCAAGATCCAGACTGACAAACTGGTGATGGCTAACCAACCAGACATCGTGTTGATCGACAAACAGCAGAAGAAGGCTGCAGTGATAGATGTGGCGATCCCAAGCGACAGCAACATCAAGAAGAAGGAACACGAGAAGCTTGAGAAATACCAAGGGCTGAAAGAGGAGCTAGAAAAGATGTGGAAAATAAGAGCAACAGTGGTGCCAGTGGTGATCGGAGCACTGGAGGCTGTGACCCCCAAACTGAGAGAGTGGCTACAGCAGATTCCAGGTAAAACATCAGAGGTCTCTGTCCAGAAGAGTGCAGTCCTAGGAACAGCTAAGATACTGAGCAGAACCCTCAAACTCCCAGTCCTCTGGGAGGACCTGAGCTTGACGATGACACATACCACCCCGCAAGGGCTGAGAGGGGGATTTCTATACTATATATATACTATATGTATATATATTTTATATATATGTTAATATATACATAGCATATATATGCCCAAGAAGATTAAGGCAGTGCTGGGAAATAATGGTGGCCACAAGATATTGACACTTTGGGCCCAATTTGGACCTTTTCACTTAGGGGTGTCCTCACTTTTGTTGCCAGCAGTTTAGACATTAATGGCTGTGTGATGTGTTATTTTATAAATCTATTTATACTGTTCTACAAGCTGCACACTCACTACTTTACACTGTACAAGCTGCACACTCATTACTTTACACTGTTATACAAGCTACACGCTCACTACTTTACACTGTTATACAAGCTGCATGCTCACTTCTTTACACTGTTATACCAGCTGTACGCTCACTACTTTACACTGTTATACAAGCTACACGCTCACTACTTTGCACTGTTATACAAGCTACACGCTCACTACTTTACACTGTTATACAAGCTACACGCTCACTACTTTGCACTGTTATACAAGCTGCACGCTCACTACTTTACACTGTTATACAAGCTACACGCTCACTACTTTGCACTGTTATACAAGCTACACGCTCACTACTTTACAATGTTATACAAGCTGCACGCTCACTACTTTACACTGTTATACAAGCTACACGCTCACTACTTTGCACTGTTATACAAGCTACACGCTCACTACTTTACAATGTTATACAAGCTGCACGCTCACTACTTTACACTGTTATACGAGCTGTACGCTCACTACTTTACACTGTTATACAAGCTGCACAAGCTGCACGCTCACTACTTTACACTGTTATACAAGCTGTACGCTCACTACTTTACACTGTTATACGAGCTGTACGCTCACTACTTTACACTGTTATACAAGCTGCACAAGCTGCACGCTCACTACTTTACACTGTTATACAAGCTGTACGCTCACTACTTTACACTGTTATACAAGCTGCACGCTCACTACTTTACACTGTTATACGAGCTGTACGCTCACTACTTTACACTGTTATACAAGCTGCACAAGCTGCACGCTCACTACTTTACACTGTTATACAAGCTGCACAAGCTGCACGCTCACTACTTTACACTGTTATACAAGCTGCACGCTCACTACTTTACACTGTTATACAAGCTGCACGCTCACTACTTTACACTGTTGTACAAGCTGCACGCTCACTACTTTACACTGTACAAGCTGCACGCTCACTACTTTACACTGTTATACAAGCTGTACTCTCACTACTTTACACTGTTATACAAGCTGCACGCTCACTACTTTACACTGTTATACAAGCTGCACGCTCACTACTTTACACTGTTATACAAGCTGTACGCTCACTACTTTACACTGTTATACAAGCTGCAACGCTCACTACTTTACACTGTTATGCCAGCTGCACACTCACTACTTTACACTGTTATACCAGCTGTACACTCACTACTTTACACTGTTATACAAGCTGCGTGCTCACTACTTTACACTGTACAAGCTGCACACTCACTACTTTACACTGTACAAGCTGCACACTCACTACTTTACACTGTTATACAAGCTGCACGCTCACTACTTTACACTGTTATACAAGCTGCACGCTCACTACTTTACACTGTACAAGCTGCACAGTCACTACTTTACACTGTTATACAAGCTGTACGCTCACTACTTTACACTGTACAAGCTGCACAGTCACTACTTTACACTGTTATACAAGCTGCACGCTCACTACTTTACACTGTTATACAAGCTGCACGCTCACTACTTTACACTGTACAAGCTGCACAGTCACTACTTTACACTGTTATACAAGCTGCACGCTCACTACTTTACACTGGAGCACAGGGTCATTTCTTCAGTGTTTCACATGAAACGATAGAATCAAATGTTTACAACAAGTTGAGGGGTCGACTCACTTTGTGAGATGCTGTATATATGTGTGTGTGTGTGTATATATATATATACACATTATGATTCAACAACTTTATGAACTTACTGACACTAGGGTATTACTACTTTTACTGTGGTATGATTGTGGTATAACTACTTTAACTAGTAAAGGAGTGTTTCTTCCACCGCTGGCTATAAATACATATTATACACACACACACACATTTAATTTACAGCTTCACAATTCAGGTGCATGTGTGTGTGTTAGTGTGTGCGTGTGTGTTAGTGTGTACGTGTGTGTGTGTTAGTGTGTGTGTTAGTGTGTGCGTGTGTTAGTGTGTACGTGTGTGTGTGTTAGTGTGTGTGTTAGTGTGTGCGTGTGTGTGTGTGTGTGTTAGTGTGTGTGTGTTAGTGTGTGTTAGTGTGTGTGTGTTAGTGTGTGTTAGTGTGTGTGTTAGTGTGTGTGTGTGTTTTAGTGTGTGCGTGTGTGTTAGTGTGTGTGTGTTAGTGTGTGTGTGTGTTTTAGTGTGTGCGTGTGTGTTAGTGTGCGCGTGTGTGTTAGTGTGTGTGTGTGTGTGTGTGTAACCTTTCAAACAGGAAGTGAACAGAAAAACAGAAAACAGGACACGATGTTCAGACTGCAGAACCACAGACACCTCAGTGCTGCTGCTGCTGCTGCTGCTGCCGCCACACTGTGAGCTTCTATGAAAGAGCAGAGAAATAAAACTGCTGATGTTTCTGTGTGCAGTGATTTCTACTGATTAAAGACTCTTTGTGAGGCCTCAAGTAGAACCCTGTAGTGTTCTAACAGAGTCTCCTCAGGTTCTTCGGGATCATAAGGAGCTTCACTGCCAAGTAGTGTTTAAGATGTCCCAGGAATTTGCTTTTTTGATAAGGTGCTACACGCAGACAGACATACAGCGGACAGAAATAAATGTAGAAATATAAATTGCCAGAATAAAAGCATAGAGAAGAATAATCCAGCTAAGTGCAGAGAAGGAACTACGTGGCAGATCTTGTTACTCGGGTCCGTGTTGAAGCGGATGTTGTGTACATAAATATATAAATTGACTAAATATGAAAACAACTGTACTGTACAACAACGATAACCAATTACAACACTCTGCACCCCAACAGCAGAGACTCCCTGAACTCAGAGGGCTCCGTGTGGCCCCCCAAGTCCTTCTACTGCCGTAGCAGAGCCCCAGAGTCCTGCTCCGCTTGCTCCTTCAGCATGCTGTGTGCTACAAAGCGGGTCAGAGCTCATCTGGGAGGCCACCACAGACCCTCTGGGTGCAGGTCCAGGTCCCTGAGGCGCAGAGTAGCCTGGGGCCTGCAGCCCTGAACACCAGGACCCTGCTCTCACCTGTCCTACCTGTGGTTCTTGTTGTTTACGCTGTACGTGTGTTGGGGAATGATACATTCAGTGACTTCCCTCTGGGGACAAACACAGCAGGCTGCAGTGCGTTCTGGGAAGTTCAGGGTTATTCAGGGGATTACTGTGATCATCAGGAGGCTCCTCCTCCCCTCTCAACTTCTGCTTTGACTCGTCATCTCTGCACGTCACTCTGTGGTTTAACGGACAGAAAGTCAAAACACCGCCAGACTGAGAGACGCTGCAGAGACGAAGAGACACCTGACTGTGAGTCCACAGCCCGCCGCCGCCCGTCTGTCTGTCTGCTTATGTCCTCTGTGTTTATTGCAGCAGGTTTTACCAGGACTTGTTTTATGTACATTTTTATTTATGAATACTTGTTTTAATGAGCTGAGGAGAATCCTGACATGCGTCTCTGTTCTTTTCACTTTGCTGCCTTTGCTC